CCCAGTCATAAAATGGGTTTTCGGTCGTCGGTGTCACAAAGTGGACATCCGGGGGAGGGAAAACACGAGGGTCTGGTACGTAGAAACGATGTTCTCACAAATGGTTTCATAGGGTTTTCTCTTGCATGAACCCTTGCACGGATACTTTTTGTACCTTGTCTGCGATCTGCCTGAAAACCCACAACAAAAACAAAACCCACACAGTTTCTCTTGTTGCTCGCGTTATCCATTATCTGAGCCTACAGAAAGCCATGGCTACTCTTGTAGTACCATTATGGCCTTTGTCCAGTTTTTTTTTTTTGGCCTCTTCTGACGGGCAAATATCGGTCGCTCATTAAAGGATGCTTTAGAGGGTCTCAATGGGGTGGTAGCATTTACGGTTATCGGCTAAAATTTTGGCTCTTTTACGGCTATCGGTTAATTTTTTTTTTCAGTTACGGTTAATTATAAAATTAAAAATTAATTTCTTTGTTTCAAAGAGTTAAATATTAATAAACCTGTATTTTTTTGTATCTTTAAAGCAAAATGAATGTCTTAGGGTCATTTCGGGATGAAATAAGTTATTTCATAGATCACGCTTTTAGAGTATTCCACTTCTAATATCATTTTACGCATAGAAATGTCAACTATGAAAACGTTTGTCATCTTTTGCATCTATGCGTGATTTCCTTTTCTTCAGGGGCTACTGATTCGTTCTTCGGCGTCGCTTTGTATTTGCTACCCTCTCCTCTTTTTACTACCACGATAGGGTCTTTACCCCATTGAAGAACAGATTGTACAACATGAACTAAAAAGGAACAAGCATACAGATTGAGACTCGAACATTTCTGTGACTCTCACATTTACAAGTGTCGGAGCCAAGCTGAGAAGTACGCGGCTTTGAAGATCTTTGCCGCAGTTTTCTTATTCTCTTAAGCTGCAGAACTCTTTGTTTAAAATAGAAACAAAAGGTTAAGCTATTGCCAGTCAACTAGAATTTTTTGTGAGCCATGAAAAGGACCATTCCTTATAAAAGACATAACAGTTTATTTGAACAGAATCTTCGTGAAAAGCAAAACTAGTAGAAACGGGAAGGTAAAGAGCCAAAGTAGCGGCGAAATAAGAAACACAACCGTTCTACGGTGAGTTTAGCACCTTCCTCAAATTATCAAATTTAAGGAGCAAAATTTTTTTTACGGTTAACTGTTTTTACCCTATTTACGGCTAACGGTTAAAATTTTTCAATTTTTACGGCTATCGACTAAATTTTGGGCCGTTTTACGCTTATCGGTTAACCCCATTGAGACCCTCGCTTTACGCTGAATGCCTCCCAAGCTCTCACCCTCTTCGTTTTACAGGGAGGTTGTCGCGCTTAGATTCGAATTTTTGTAGGGATTATCCAGCTTTATTGCCCTTCGAGTAGGTCATTCTGAACTAGCTCTTAGTGCTGGTATTTGCAGGATTTGACACTGGTCATTAGTTGCATGGACAGCTTTGTCCAGGTAAATGACACTGGTCATGTGAAGGGACGACTGCGTCCGTTGGAGAAGATTTCTGTCGTTTTAGATTTTTGTTAGTAGAACGAGGTTTCGAGTTCTCTCGAGAATGGGAGACCTGTTCACGTATGAAAAATTGTGTCCTTTTTTGACACTGGTTCGCGAATCGTAACTCAACCTGCCATTCTGGCCAAGGTTTTTCACAAGGTTGAACTGCGTTGTTCTTCTTGGTTTAGGTTATTTACCTTTCTTAATCAAGGCTGTAACTTTGTTTTTGTTGATTGTTAGGTTATTTTAGTGTCCGAGCTCAGACTGTGTCCTAGACAGGGTGTTTCCCACTTTATATTTGTTTGCCTGTAGTTTATGGGACCTTTTGGGGGATTTAAATGATCTACTAGAGCAAGTCGCGTTTGGGGTATATATGCAGTTATTACGCGTTTGTTATTAAGTTTTCTTTGTAGGTTATTCGCTAGGCCTTTGTTTAGGAGCTACTTTGCATGCCTATTTTGCCCCGGGGAGGTCGGTGTAGTTTCCTTCTATTATGCTCCCTGCAGACATTGCGTCATAGGCATAGAGCCGTTTATTAATCGCTGTCATCGCTGCGTCACATTTCCTAGCGCCGTTATCCTGTTGTTGCAAAATTTTGGTGATATAATTTTTTTTCTTGCAGGTCGTAGTTGCAAGTAAAGCATGGATGGTGTTCCCTCCTGCTATTAGGCCGGATTTTCATTCTTTATTTAAATGTTTACCTAGTTCTAGGGCGGATTCTACTGTGAAGAAATATCTTAAGGAAATCAACAAGTTTTTACTGCGGTGTAGGACTCGGAAAATTGCGCTACAGTTGCCATTTTCTTCTTTTGTTGTTCATCTGTTTGGCTTAGATCAACAGCTTAGGTCCCCGGCCGCAATGGTTTTGGTCCATGCTGCGCTGAAATGGTTCCATTCCTTTGTTCCTGATGATGGTCCCAATCCTTTGGATAACGCTTGTTGCAAGAACTTGATTGAGTGCGCCAAGAGGACAAGGAGCAATCCAGTTCACAAGAAAAAGCCCGTGGACCCTACTATCATTAGAAGCATTATTGACAGACATGGCGCTGAGGAAGCATCTTTAAAGGACTTACGTATTGCCGCAATACGTTCTTTAGGTTTTGCAGGATTGTTTCGTTTTAACGAGTTGGCTAATATTCAGCCAAAACACCTCACGTTTTGCGATGGTTTTGTTAAAATGTTTGTGCCAAGGAGTAAAACGGATGTATATAGAGAGGGCAATTATGTTTATATCGCTAAGTTAGGGAACAAATACTGCCCAGTAGCTATCTTACGTAGGCCTATGATATTGAAGCAGCCAATTTGGATCTGTCTAGTCATTTGCCTTTATTCAGGCCATTAACGAAGAACAAGTCGGGTTATACTCTTAGGAATGGCAAGTTATCCTATACTCGCTGCAGGGAAATATCAAAATATTTAAGACTACTTTGAAAGATTTGGGCTATGACCCCAAGGAATATGGTCTACATAGTCTGCGTTCAGGGGATGCTACAGCTGCTATTAGTAATAACGCTTCCAATATGAGCCGTTTTCTGAGAGGTTGTTAAAACTTCATGGGCGCTGGAAAACAGACGAAGCGAAAGACATGTACGTGTTAGAGACTGAATGTAATCGTTTAAGTGTGACGAAATATTTAGGTATTTAGCTCATATTTAAATATCTTATCTGTTTTTCCTTTACCATTATGCTGTAAGATTCCTTTTCATTAAAGTGTTCGGGTTCGCACGCGATCCACCCATATCTGACTTCGCTTGGTTTTTGCGGTTATTTAAGCGGTAAATAATTTACGTTCGTTTGAGCGAAGCGAATTAGAACGTAATGCTTTTTCGCATTAACACAACGGAGCAAAATTTATCCTGCCTTCACAGACTGCCCAGACATAGAGTGTGTCAATATATATTAATATTCTGACACGGACAAAATGGGATTAGTCGTCGAAATTCCCATGAACTAATGTAGTCCAAAAGTCAAAATATAACAAAAAAAAAGTTAAGTTATCTTTAACGGAACGTCTCCTTGTCTTTCGTGGCCGAATAAATTAAATTGAATAAGATCGGTGAAGTTTGAGTACAGTAAAACGCTGCGAAGAAGAACCGAGGATTTAAGAACTTGAACTGCTGGCAAACATTTGTCATTTTATTACTCCAAAACATAAGAACCAGTTTAGCCAAGAAAAATCAACAAGTTCTTATATGTGGGGTTAGACTACATTTTCATAAACATTTTGACCAAAAGTCTGGCTTTAATATGGGAAATTTATATTACATTATATAATGAATGTTGTATACAACCATTGTTGAAAACTGCATATCTTCTGGCTGTTAACCTAGTTTTGTTAGATTTTCAGGGGCACCCAACGACAATTTTCGGAAAATATCTGTTCGGAGGACGATTTGAGATCTAGAATTTTCGGAACATTTTTTCCAAAATTTCTTCTTTGTCTGCCTCTCCTAGGATTTTCGAACATCTAAAAAATGGTATAATTGCCCATTTTTAACGGATTTACACCCTAAAAAGGTCACCTAAAATTTTCGGGGGCCTTTTTCTGGCTGAAATTTTCGAATGGGTAAGTTTTGATCCCTGTAATTTTCGAATCACTAGACTTTCAGCTAAGATATCCGAACAGATGAAAAATCTTTGGGGGATAAAAATATGCCTATATCTACCGTTTTAATACTAAAATACGTTTAACAATGCTATGTTTAAGTGGTTTTGAACTATATTCTCGTTGGGTGTCCCTGGATTTTTGGTAAATAAATGCCTGTTATGAAGGACAAATACCATTTATAGCAATTTCGGTAATTTTCCTTCGAAATTTGTTGGCGTCTTGCGTCTTTTGAATTTGACTTACACATTTTTCAAAGTTTTACTTATATTTTGTCATTGTAGAGCCCTATTCAGGTCAGTGTCATTTCTCAAGATTATTGCAACCAACGTCTTATTCCTGTACTGTAAATCTAAGCCGTCACAATTACTTTTTGGCGAATAAAAATCTATTATTTTATCGATGTCTTTTTGTCTGTATAATAAAAAGAACATTACGGCAACGGCGTTGAAGATATGAATTTTATTTTCTCGTTGCAAAAACAATATTTTACTCACTCGCTGCGCTCGTTCGTAAAATACTGTTTTGCCACTCGAAAATAAAATTCATATCTTCGCGCCACCGTGTAATATCCTATATGTAATCTTTAGCTCGCCAGCTAAATTTTAGACTAGCTTGAAAGTTTGCCTCGTTATCAGATCCAAAAGCATCCTGCAAACTCTCATGAGCACAGACGAGATAAATAAATAAAATAAATACTATTAGTGAATCCCTACCCGACTGAGGTAAAATATTTGAACGGCCGTAACATTTGCCATGGCTAATAAAGAGATTATCCCAGAAACGTTTCACTGAAACCAAACTTAACCCTTTTTTGAAAGAAATGTTTCAAATTAACGTTCGATCTTCCGAGGACCTTCCTTATCCGTGATTGGCAAGATATTCTGCAGTATATCCCGGATGGCAGGTCGAATTTGTCTCATCTTCCAGCAATAAACCAAAGGATTGAGAGACGAATTAAGAAAGACCAATGTCAAGGCGTAATAACGTAAGGTGTCGGTAAGGCTAGTTGTTTTTACAGTGCGGACAATATTGACCAACATATACGGTAAATAACAGGCAAGAAACACAAGATAAACGTAAAACGTACCAACCATCGATTTTCTCAGCTTTGCGGCGGTTGTCGTTTCTTCCACATTCTGTTCTTGTTGTTGTGGTTGTAAGTCCTGCATTTGATTTCTGTGCCGTCTCACGGCCAAAAACATTTTGCAATAGAAGAATGCTGAAAGGATAAACAAAACCGGCGAAAGTGTACCTTTAACAAAGTACATTATTTCTCCGTAAAACTGATCAAGTATGGAAAAAAATGCACTTATTGCCCAAATTGACATCACTACAGAAACAACACGCTTGTAAGTCACAAGTTCCTGATATCTGAGATGAAGCTGCAGGGTTAAGAATCTGTCCACAGTTAGCGCCGTGACAGCAAAGAACGATGCAAAACCAAGGATGATACCCATAAAATGAAAAGCTTCCTTAGTGAAAAAAGCAATGGTCGTAGGGACGCCTTTTAACTTCATCACAAGAGAAACAACATACAAAGGTTGAACCAGAAATCCAACACCAAGATCAGAAACAGCCAAACTCAGCAATAGTGTTTTTAAATTCTTTGGCAGCGATGAGGTTTTTCTCAGTGCTCTAATTGTTATAATGTTTAACATAGTGGCGGTGTATGACAGAAAGACGTTGAAAACACAATTGATGAGGAGGGATGAGTCCATTGTCTGCCAAATACATTCACGGAGGGCAGCTGTACCAGAGTTTATATAAGAAGTTAACCGTGGAAAGTAGCATGCCAAGCAAAATAATTCTTTCCTCTACGTTATCTTTTGTTCAAACTGAACGTTTTAAGAAAATTTCGATTCTTTCCCGGCACATTTAGTTTAACGGTCAAGTGTTCAGCACGATCGTTCGAGTTTGCGTTTCTGCCAGGACGCCGAGAAACTGATATTATCAGAAAATTGATGTTTGAAAAGCGTGGTGTTTGGATATAATTTTCAGCCAAGGCAGATGGGAATTATTTCAACATTAATAGCACTGTTTAAAAAACATAGTTCCAATAGCTTATGGTGGTTCTCGATCGTGAACAAATTGAAAAGAAGGATGATCAACCAAAAGGGCGCAAGTTATTGCATGAGCTTATAGTCATGATATCAAATACCGTTTCAAAAGTTACCTTTTGACGGACATGCATGCAGTGTACAAGAAATGAAAAACATCAATATAAATACTATCGCCAATTAAGATGATGTCTTTCTTAGGATTCTATTTTTTTGTTGTCTTGCCATGAATGTATAATATATGCAGAGCTCGACTGTTTACATAGCTTAGAATTAACATATGGCCTCGGCTCAACAAAAAACGACATTTTTAAAGTCATAAAAAGCGCAATTTTTATAGCAGTATCTAATCATAAGAAAATAAAGTTTTTGGCTCCATTGTGAGAGGGAAAGCCGTTTGATAATGTGTTTCATCCGGGAAAACGCGAAATTCGTTTTCATATATATTCGCACCTGAGAGTGTAATAAGCTCACTCAGTTTTTTTTATATTTTTACCTCGGGACTGAGAAAAGAAAACAAATTGATCACACTGCGTGAAGGGAAAGAGTAAAACCATTTTTCTTGGAAAATGGTTACATGTAGGATAATGCTAGATCTTCGAGGTCTGTGTGATGACCGCGCTGTAAATAATGACCGATCGCACGTGCTCGGTCACTATTTTAAAAGGGCCGATTAAGAGCGAAGGCACCTTTTCATTGTTTTAGAACAAGTAGGAGGTCATTATTCAATATAATGAACAAAACGCAAGGATGTATACCATTACTGCAGATTTTCTCAGCTTTGCAGCGGTAGTGCCGTTCTGTGCTTCGTGCTGTACTTGCAGGTCCTGAATTTGATTTCTGTGTCTTGTAATACAATAATGCTCTATGTATATGAATAAGAAAAACTGGTGCAATTGTACCCTTGATCGAGAATGCTCTTTTTACTTACAACTTATAAAAGATTGAAAAAGCTGCTCTAATCACCCAAATGAACACCACCGCAGAACAGGCACACTTCAGTGAGCCACACGACAGGGGCACCCAAAGACAATTTTCGGAAAATTATCTGTTCGGAAGACGATTTGAGGTCTAGAATTTTCGGATCATTTTCTGAAAAATTTCTTGCTTGCCTGCCTCTCCTAGGATTTTCGAACTTCAAAAAAATCGTATAATTGCCCAGGTCCTAGAATTTTCGGGAGCGTTTTTTCTGGCTGAAATTTTCGAAAAGGTAAATTTTGATCCCTATAATTTTCGGATCACTATACTTTCAGCTAGGAAATCCGAACAGATGAAAAATTTTTAGGGGATAAAAATAAGCCTTTATCTACTGTTTAAATACTAAAGTACGTTCAACAATGCTATGTTTATGTGGTTTTGAACTATATTCTCGTTGGGTGCCCCTGACACGATCCTGGTACCTGAGATGACGATGCATGGCTAGTAATCGGGCCCCAGTTGTTCAAAACCTGATAGTGCTATCCACCGGATAAATCACTATCCAGCGAAACCAATTGCCTTACCCATTGGAGAGAGATTTGTCCAACGGATAACGCTATCCATCTTTTGCTGGGGCCCGCTTGTAACTTAAGCTGTAACTCCAAAAACCGAGTAATAACAGAGAAAGACTACCATAAAGCTAACAGCTTCTTCTGTCAGAATTACGTTCGTTTACCTTTATAACGAGGTGCACAGCATACAATGGCTTCAAGAGCCTGTTTACATGGAGGTGGGGGATCCCAGGTAGGTGAGGTAACCCGCCTGTCCATATCACTTCTCATGATCATTAAAATTTTATCATGTTTACATAACGGGTGGGGTGACCCACCGCGGGTTGCATCACCTAACGTGGGTCCCCCACTCCATGTAAACAGGCCCTAGGACAAAAGATCATAGATTCTAGCCGAAGGCAATGAAGCCGACTGTCTAGTAGCAAATAGTCTGATTCTCATACGTCCACCGCGGTCGTTCCCGGGGACTCGAGACGCGAACGACATCGGACGTCTGATAATCAGGCTTAATGGCAGGCAATAAAATCGTGACTGTTCCAGCCGACTGACAATCAGAAATTTCTCTGTTATCTCTTAATGCACTATGATCCCCAAAGTTATCAGAACCCGTAAAAATTAATTAATGATGAAAACGATTGTCAGTTTTATTCGAAATGGAATAATAATTATAGCAGTTTTTCTCAAATTTTGCTTCGTCATTTACCGTTCCACTGGTTCCAAGATAGGTGGGAAATGGGATGGAGAAAAGTTGTGAGAGAACCGCATGGAGACTGTGGAGAAATGGGGAAGTGGGGCGTGTGTTGCCCGTTAGCACTGTTTTTCGATACCTCATTGTATGTTGACACTTACGTCGATCACATTGCTTTCGCGCGAGCATTCAATGAAACATGGCGAGCGCGTGTAGAACGTTCATACACGGCACATTTTGAGATTTGACATTTTGACACGAGAAACGGTTTTTCTGGACACACAAACTTGTTGAAAGTGGGTAGTAAGGTATTTTAGGAGATTCTTACAAGTTCTCCTTTCCTCTTTTTCTACTGTTTTTCTCTCGCTCGCTTTTTGCCTCGTTCGCGCTTTTTTTCTCGTCATCACTGACCGAGAGCCTGGCACAGAGCACCTAGTAGAACAGTCGAAGATGTCCGAAGACTACCGAAGATTTCAGAGGAGGTCCATCAACATAAAGTAAAAACAAAGGGGGTCCTAGGACCGTTCCTTGAGGGACACCTGAAATTACTTCCTCGGGTGGAGATGAAACACCATCACAAACAGTTTGTTGAGTTCTGTGTGCTTCTTAGCCAGTTATTCAAAGGCCCGGTTATTCCAAAATGGTGTAACTTCATTAGGAGCCTTTCGTGTGGTACTTTTTCAAAGGTCTTTGTAAAATCAAGAATCCGACTAGATGAAATGCCTTCTTCTCATTAAGCGCAGAAGAAATATCATGTATGGTTGATAGCAGCTGAGTCTCAGAGTGCTTTTGGCGAAAACCATGTTGGGTGGGCACCAGGACGTTATTAGACTCGAAAAAGTCCATAATATGACAATGAACAATGTTTTCTAGGATTTTGCAAGAGATACAGATAAGAGAAATTGGTCTGTAATTTTTGGGTTCCTCTCTTTTTCCTTTCTTGAAAACTCCATGGACTTCTTTCCATTTCGACGGTAACATGGCTTGGACAAGTGATGATTGGAAGATCATCTGTTAGTATTGGTGAAATTTCTAAATGTAACATCTTTAAGATCCATGGTGAAATGCCATCAGGGCATGGGGCTTTATCACATTTCAGACCTTTTAATTGCTTCTCAACTCCTTTGCAGCGAACTCGAATGGGACTTATTTCAGTGGTGCTGGATAGGTAGAAGTATTTTCTTTGGTAAAACACTACAAAATTGGTTATTTAGTGCTTTTGCCGTACAAAAAGGATCGCTTGTCAAGCGTCCATTGGCTTTAAGATCAGGAACACCAACTTGATCACAACTTTTCGTCTTTTTGATATAAGACCAGAAGGACTTCGGATTTTCCTGGATGGCGTGTGATCAAAAACCCGACACATATTCATTTCTTGCCTTCGTAAGTTCCTGTCTTATTATTAATAATTAACTATTAAAACAATTTGTTTATTTTTTGATCCAAACTTTAGCTTAAACGTTACATATAATGATGTTTGCCCGCTTTCATAACCAGTCTCCTCTACTGACTATGAAACGGCTTCCTGAAAAATATAGCTGTCAGACAAACGGAGATGATTATAGCTGATTTGTTGCCACACAGGTTTGAACGTGGCTGGTAAAACGCGCAACGTGCTTTTTCAACTCGTTTTGCAGCAATTTTGCAAACAAGTTGCATATTCATTGTGCCCGTTTTTCCGTAGCTTAACGTAATTATGTAAGTTCTATTCAACAATATGACGCCAATTTCTGACCATCACATACTGGAATATCAATCTCGCTAATGAAAAACGGAGAGAGGTATTTTGTATACATTTGTTCTTTCACTGATGCCAAACATGGACCTGGAACGAAATTGTCGCCTAGTGGTGGTGCAAAGAAATGCAGACGGCGCGCGCAAATTTTGACAATCTCTCACTGAGAACCTAAATTTAAGACGCGCATCTCTAGCGTTGTTCAGTTTGGTCACACCCGTAAGCAATGTTAAGAAGATCCGTTTAACCATCAATTACATGTACTATAAAACTACTCTGTGCCCTGTGTGGTTTTCCGAGGTCATAACGAGGGGAGATAAGTTTCAAGTAACTAAATGTAGTTTAAAACGCTGTGTTTTAAGGGGGAAGAGGTTATCCCTGGATTTCAATTCAGATTAGCATATCAGGGTACGTTAGGTTAGTCTAAGATTCCGACCCTGCTCGCCATTAGAGTTCCAGTAGCTCAGTGGTTAGAGCGTCCGAACTAGAACTCGGAGGGTCGTGTGTTCGATTCTAATCTGGAGCTCGGAAAATTTTTCTGAGCTTTCTGGTGTTGAATTCTCTTTCTTCTTTAATACGGGACAATTAAAAGAACAAGCATTTACAATAATTTACACCATGCAAGGCATAAGAATAAATGGGTTAAAGAACTACATGCATTCTTTTTTATGATCAAAATATTACTAGTACATAGCAGGTGTGATCATCAGTTTCCATTGCTCACTCCAAATTTACATAAATACAATGATTTTTCCCTTAGAGACGCTTTGAAAGAAGCAAACTTGATGAGGTTAATACTTACAATTTTTATAGTACAAAGTTTTTAAAGGTGTCAGGCTGATAAGTAATTTTGGTATAACAAAAAGAGAAAATTTGAGAAAAATATGCATTCGGAATGCTAAATCTAACTTACACTGCTGTTTAATTTTTTTCTACAGAACATTTAAACAAGGGTATATTAAAAATTATTGTCAGATTATTAACCCAAAAAATTAATCAAGAAAATGGTTTCACTGTAAGCGGAATGTCTGACATGCAAAAATCAAACAGTTAAGATACTTGCAACATAAGGCGTTTCGCAAAATGAACACGTCAATCACTCAATAGTAGCTGTTCTATCTTCAAAAGATGTTCGTTAAAAAAATCAACCGACTATATAAATATTTAGTGAGGATATTTCCATCTTAGAATGCTTCCGTCTGTGCCAATAGTGATAATCCATTTTTGGTTTGGACAGATCTTTACTCCAGCGATACCGCCACCATGTCCTGTACCAATGTGGGTTACCAGCCCTTCATCGTATTTCCAAACCTAAGGTGAACAGCACACTACGTTAGGATAGGAGCTGAGTAGTAGGATACTTAGTTCACATCTGGTGTCCGAGCACTAATGCGTACAGTGCATGAGAACTGACACAAAATGGTGTTCTGTTTGCTGGCTGGATAGTACTTTGACACAAGCAGCGCTTCGTTCTGGCAAGAAATGCTTAAAGCAAAAAGGAACCTAAAACAGAATGCTTTTTATTGAAAAGAAAATAGTAAACCATAATATAGCATTCTCTGAATAAACTTGACCTTCAACGCGGGCCATGAATATTCTTC